TAAGAGTCCAAGCCGATCTGCTGTGGAGTCCAAGCATCACGGTAATTAAGTTCTTCTTCAAGCTGTTGATATGTGACTTGTGACTCTTTAGTTACGCCTATTAGGGCATAGTTACTGATCACATGCTCGCGGGGTCCCAGTCGGGTCAAGCCCCGCCAGAGGTCTAGACACTTTTGCAGTAACATGACGTGGCATATAGAAAATGACCAATTGGAATTTATAAATTTCGATTGTCTCAGATCAGTCTGACATCAAAACAAAACACGTGTGCAAGAAGAAAAAAAAAAGAAAAAAGTGAAAATACTCGAAAACTGGTGTTTAAATCGGCCTTTAACCACTAACAAAAAGTGTCAGAAATGCAATTTTATATATAATATATAAAGCTAAAAACCCTAACACGAACCCAAACCCAAACCCTAAACTAAAGCAAAAAAATATACTACACCACATGATGGTCACGTTACTGCAAAAGTGTCTAGACCCCTGGAGGGGCCGTCGAGTCAGGGGTCAATTTTATATGTAACAAGGTAATATATGTTACTATTGGATTGAAAAGAAAATTCATTTTATCTCAAACAATAACGTGAAATAGAATCTGTACTAAAGCAACTATAATATACTCATATATTAAATATGGCCAACTCTCTTTATGAGCCTTTTTATAATGAACAAACTATAAATTTTAAATTATATAGAGAAATCGACTGTATTCATATTTCTATTATATCTTCGATTCATAAAGAATATTCAAAATACAGGACGGTTGAAGGTTAAACTTTAAATAAATATTTCTCGATAATAACTTCATTAAATTAGATGAATTTTTTTATTTTAATTCTACAAGTCTGTAGAATTAAAATAAAAAAATTGACAAATTTCATAAAGTAAATATTTATCTAAAGTTTAACAATTAAAGTTGTAACTCAATAATTTCTCGACAACTATGTGACCAAACTTGATTTTTTTATTTTAATTCTACAAGCATCTAGAATCAAAAAAAATCATCGAATTTGATAAGGTAATCGCGTTCAAAGTTTTACCTCTCTAGTAAAAGAAAAAAATAGTACTTACTTTTTTTAACTTAAAGTAATTATTTCTTAATAACTAACAATTAAAATACGATAAAATTTTTTATTTTAATTCTAAGTCAAGTCTTGTAGAATTAAAATAAAAATTCTCGTCAAATTTGATGAAGTAATTATCAAAAATTATTATTTAAAGTTTAACAATTAAAGTAGCAACTCATACAGTATGTTTAAATTTTTTTAAAAAAAACATAATCAATAATTTCTTGACAACCACGTGTTCAAAACTCAATGAAAATCATTTTATTTTAATTCTACAAGCATTTAGAATTAAAATAAAAATAATTCGTCGAATTTGATCAGGTAATCGACGAGAAAGCCTTGTTCAAAGTTTTAACTCTCTTGTAAAAGAAAAAACAGTGTTTTTTTTTAAAACTTAAAGTATTTATTTTTCAATAACTATTCAATCAAATTCGATAAAAATTAATGAATGAATCGTCATTGAATAAAGAGGATTAGAGGATTTTTACTCAAACTAAGCAGGGACGGTGAATACTTCTATTAAGAATAGAATAGAATAAAATAAATAAAATGATAAATTATAGCCAATCAAATCTCGCTATTTATTGCGTAATAATGTAATAATTTTCAGAAATTGAAAATTATTTTGAAAATTAAATTTTTGATTTGCTAAAAAATTTTTTTTTTGGTGACATTGGAATAAAATGGGATAAAATGAAATAAATGGAATAATTGATGTTAGTATGATAAAAATTTCCAATTTGATAGTGGAAGTATTCCCCGTCCCTGGTTATACCCTGGGCACTATGTGTATAAGCGGAAAATTTCATTTCCACTTATACCCAATTGCCCAGGATATAACTATTACATATTAATTTTATCTCTCATCGAGGGGTGAAAAAACAAGGAAACTATGAAATACAGTTATGGGTATCTGTTCTCGTGCATATGTACAACAGTGCAGAAATTGAAAGTATCGAGCCAAAAAAATGAAAGTACTAAAACTGATAGCTTGCTAAAAACTGAAAACTAGAAACTAAATGCTCATCGCAAGGGGCGGGGTGAAAAAAACCAGATAATTTCATCTGGAAAAACCCCCGAGTTCCCTTACGACTACTCTTAAACTAAAAGTGACTGTCATCTGACAGGCCACGCTATGTAAAAACATAAGCGCTTCAATATACAAAAACTCAAGAAAAAAACCCCTAGTGACTGTCGTCACGACAGGCCACTTTTAAAAACCCAAAAGTACTTTTATGACTGTCGTCTGACAGGCCATAAATAAACAGCTAAAAACAGTAAACTTGGAGACTATCGAGTCACCATGTACGAGGGCCGGGTAGGGTGGGGCGAAAAAACCAGACAAAGTCGGGTTAGCAGAAAAAACAGAAAACGACTTTTCCTGGCACAAAGCCCGTTCTTCATAAATACTACTAAACGATTACTAATCGAATTACCACGTCACTACGTCACTAAAAACTCATGGGAAAAAAATCATACGAAAGTCAATAACCAATAAATCAAAAAATCACAAAGAAACAATGCCCAATAGATCAAACAATATATCAATGATCAAAATAATACATCATACGACTAGCATGTCCCGTGACCGATTCGAGACAAAAAGCTGCTCCGATACTACCGTATCGGCAGCTAAAGATTTAATATTTAATAGCAGTGGTAAAGTCTATGTTAAAAATTTTCATTCTGTATCGACATTTTGAAAAGCGCTAGAAATTTTTTTTAAAAAATTCTTAATAATATCAATCTATTATAAGGCGCTGTACGTTTTCACATTAACGTACTCATTCACTCACCTGTGTTGCGTTGCATATCAGATATTGCCATGGGTAATACTTAAAGGCGCTGGTGAAACTAATTTCACCAGCATCTCTAGGTTTCCTCGTACAATGTAAGATATAAGTTCGAAAAAGAGAAGCTTATTAATACCTTTGTAGTAGTTACAATTTCATGAAGAAAGTTGGCACAAATACAAATAAATAAACAATTAACAGTTTCTTTTGCCTATAGTTATCCTTTAATTATAAATATATTTTTAATTATTAAACGTGAATATTTTATGCTTTATTTTCACTAAACTATATATAAATTTAAATCACATAAATAAAATATTGGGCGAATATGTCACTCACATACGCAACAGCTAGTTTATACATGAATTTGGATTGGCGAAATTCGCATCTTCCGCGTAGAAATTCACAAGACTCTGGCTTTTAAAATTCTTGCTTGAGAATTATAGGTTTCACAATTATCGGATTAACTTTAGAATCGTATATCTAGATAAAGTAAAATGAATTAAATATGTATATACAATTTTTACACTGATTATGTTTCTGTTAAATTTCTTATTATGGATATATTACATGATACGTATAAACATAAATTTTGCTAAATTTGGTCATATTTGAAATTTTAGTTGCCCTTTTTTTTTTTATATCTTAATTATTATAGACAAGAGCTAATACTTCAATCCGGATATAAATATATCCGGATTGATATTTTGTTAAAAATTTATAGTAAAACATAGTAATTATATCCGGATACATCCGGATTTAAAATAAATCCGTATATAAAAAACATAGTAAAGTATTAACTCTATTATAGACCTTAATGATTCAAGATATTAAAATTTCTAATAATTCCAATGATTAGACTATAAACACAAAAGTAGTAAAAAGTATTATTTGTCAGAATATTTATAAAATAGATATTGTATACTAGTAATTGTAAATTTACAGATTCGGTATAATTATATCAGATATCGATATTATTATTTAATTTAATATGTAATAAATTTGGATTTCAATCGACAATTCATTTTCATTTTAAACCTTATCAAAGATAATCACAAGAATTTTGAATTCTGGTTTGTTTTTTGAGTAACAAATAATTTTATAAAACTTAGTCGACTAAGTCAGCCTTTATAAATTCGGCTTAATCAGTCGATAGTTTTAGATCTGATTAATAACACTACTCTAGATATTACACTGTTTTGGCAATTTTACGCATTATTCGTTAAATCTATCTTATAAAATATGGTCTTGACATCAACTCCGATATTTCTTAAACGTGCAAGTTTTTTCCGGCAGTCGGAAATAAGAGTGTTTAAAATATTTCGAATAATTTTTATATGCGTTTCATATGTCAGTGTATTCATTTATATGTGTTGGAAGTTCTCTGAATTAAGCAAAGGAGAGAAAGTGTTAATTTACACACGAGAAACTTTACCATATATTGCAACACCGAGTATTTATAATTTCATGAAATTTTCTCTCTTTTAATGAAGAATTTTTATTATTTAATAATATGCAGACTTATATTTTGCATCTACTTCTAACTTTAGTATATTCTGTGACTATTCATTCAACGGTAATTATACTATGCTGTTGAAAATTTTCCAAGATTTTTGTGTAATTAATTATTTATAAATGCCAGGCTTCCCTTACGATCAGTGTTGGCAATTTTACCGGCCAAACATATTTTTGGCCGGCCAAAAAATGGCAATTCGGCCAAATTCATATGTTTTTTTGGCCGAATTGGCCAATTTTTTGGCCGAAAAGGCAAACAAATTTGGTTTGGCCGGTAGAATTGCCAACACTGCTTACAATGGCAGTGGATTGCATTGCACACAAAGAATACTATATGAATTTAGGCCAACATTTTTTGCTCCTTTTATGGCTACTTTTAGACCAAATGGTTTACGTTTGAACAATAATTTATTGCCGAATCCACCTAATGTGACTGGAATTAATTTCGACACAAACCAAACTGAATTTTCTAATATCACTAGTGTTAACTTAACTATAATCAAGCCTATAAATCATACGATCCCATTTCTGTTTTGGGCTTTTGATCCGGGCATGCTTTTTTTTAAAAAAAAATTATATATTTAAATCGATCGTTCTATTAATAAAACATATCATATTTACAGAAATGGACCCATATTCCGACAGAATTTTATTCACTAAAGAACCAAATCTCATGACCGAATTTTTAACATCGAATGAATATCAAGTTGGAACCGGGGTAATTTTAATTTCGAAGTTAATTTTATACACATTGCAGAATATAAGTTCAATTATTCTTTACGTATTTGTAGTATAATCTATTCAGATTCAGTAAGCGCATCCGCAGAATGCTTATTAATAAAGCGAGTGGCTTATTTTCATGGCAGGCTCAATATAAAGAAATCCCATATATTACTTCAGAGATGGGTATGTATTGAAGGTGATAAAAAAAAAACATTAAACCATATTACTCAATTTTAAATGTTATTGAATTTCAATTTAGAAAACATAAGAGAAAATATAAGTTTAGGTGTCAGCTTCGTTCAAATAAGTTGTTTAACAACAATAGTTAAAACAGATTCAGAAAAATTGTGAGCTACAATAATAATTTTTTAAATCAATTTTTCTATTTTAATAATCATAATTTTTCTTTTTATTATCAAGAATTTTAACGCTTTTAGACGTCTTTGGTTTTGTTGGAGGTCTGTTTACATTGCTAACTTCGATTTTTGTAATATTATTTGGTGAGTTACTATACTAGTTTCTTTTCTTATGCAATTTACGGAACTTAAATACGTAATGTAACAAATAAATTTCAAAGGACAAAACAAAAGAAGTCCATGGGGCATTTTGCAATTCCTTTCCTGTTGCAGTATCAAGCAAAAAACTCAAAATAGTCTCTACGATTATTTAAAAGATCAAATTCCATTTGCCGATGAAGGTGTACATTTAGACTATCCTCCTGCAAAGATTGAAGATAGAATGAGTGCAATTGAGCAACGACACAAGGCATTAGAGTTGTTTCTTCAAGATTATGTAGTGAATGTTAATATCCTTTATGATAAAGATGTTGACAATAGATTTTATAAATATACTGAAATTCAAGACGATAAAACAATATAATAATTTTTATTATTTTAATATTTGTGTTGTAAGAAATTATTGAACTTAGGAGATTCAAAATGTATAAAATTATATAAATTGTTATCTATCATTATATATTAAAAGGAATTAATATAAAGTCCAAAAAAATAAAATAAGCAATATTATCAATGTACTAAAGAACATTTAAATAAATTTGAGAACACTACATTTAAAAATTATGTTCTCTTTTGACAACAAACTAAGAACGTAAATTTTATAATTAATGTTTTTATATTGATGCCAAATTTTGCTTGTTATTTTTTTTCTAGTAACCACGGGACAGACGCAGATATTAGTAAATATATAAACTAAGCTTAAATAAAATTTTTTTTCGTTACCGTAAATGTGCGTATACAAGATCCCCCCTTATATCAGACCTACCCTCATTTTTTACTAATTATTTTCTTTTTTTTACTAATTAATTTTTACGCACATTTACGGTATTTGTTTGGACATAGTCTAGATGCAAATATTTTTTTCAAATCACGGGTGGAGGTTGTACCCGTTCATCGCATCCGAATAATAATAATAATATAATAATAATAATATAATAATAATAATAAATATTACATAGTGTAACGCGCAGTGTAGCTCTAGCCGCTACTTTAAATTATATAGATTGAATAATACAAGGTTTCTGTTGGGCATAGTAATTTCATAAACTTTTACTTTTACTTTTACTTTTTAACTTTGTTTTATCGCGATAATTTAGTAGTAAGTATAAAAATTATTAATTTAAGTATTTATATTTTCAAGTTTATTATATTTATCATTTATAATTTTATTTTAGATATATAGTGAGTATAAAAAACACCGAGATATACAAGTTCATCAACATTTGCCACTTCATTTATTCGCGTTAATTTAGTTGGACATTGATTAATATAATTAGCTATTTAAGTTCATGAAACATTATTAATTTGAGTATAAAGAGCATTGGTTATCCAAGTACAGTATTTAAATAAGCAAATTCGTGCTTATTAATATTTACTATTTAAACTTTATTATTTGGCTAATTTAGCATGTATATGAAGGGAGTTTTAATTCTATATTTTTGGCAAACCTTGTTAGATGAGGATTAGACTAAAGTTGATTAGGCGTAAATTTAACCAATTTCTTACCACAAATGACCGGGTCAATCGAGTCACTTTACAGTTTTCATAAATTCTGGAACAACTGAAAAAACTTCGGTGACCGAATCGATAAGTTACAGAGTCGGAATCAATAAGCAACAGATTCGGCCGAACTCAAACTTATCGATTCGGTCATCGGTAATTTTTTCAGTTGTTACAGAATTTATGAAACCAACTGTAAGTAATCCGGGTTGTAACCCCGGTTAACAAATTATAAGCAATTCTTGAATGTGTGCCAGGTTGGTGGCGCATTACTCAGTCCAAATAATTTGCGCCATATAAAAAAAATCTAATGAAACAATAGTAAAACTATAAATTTTAATAGAAAAAAAATACCATTTTTTAACGTTATTCTACTCGAATCATGTTTTTATTATTTTCAATTTCCCCTCATTTTATTTTCATAATCTTTAGCATTGTTTTGAATTCAAAAAACATTTGTATTCTTCACTTTCATATTATAATTTTCAAAAGTTTTACAGACAAACGTCAAAGTTCTTAATATAATTCACGCATAAAAAAATAATGGCTTTAAAAGTATGATAATAAATCTCAAATAGACACGTACTTATAGTTTACAAAAAAAAATTTCCTTAAATGAAAAAAAAACTTTTCTCATAATCTATTTTGAATCGTATCTTAAAAAGAATAATATTAGTGTTCCTTAATGTTAAAGACGTTCCTTTTATAATTAAATTTATAACCTTACATACTTCCGAAATTATTGTAATATATCTATTACATATTAAGTACGGTCAACTCCCTTTATAGTAGTAACTTTTTAAAATGAACACTAAAAATTTTAAAAATTATTATTTCTGTTATGTCTTAAATTAATAAAAGAAAATTAGAAAACATTCAAAGTACAGAACGTACAGTACGTACATACTGAAATAAAAAAGATCATTTATTGCGCCATCAACCTGGCACATTGCAAATTATAGCACGTCCGTAATCTGTGACAGGTTAAGCCACTGATTTCAATCACCGTCCGACTATGCCTTGATAAAAAAGCTATTGAATTTAGTGATTTGAAAAGGCTTATTATTGCGAAGTTAAAGTTGAATATATAAAAAACTATTTGATCGTAATTGATTATTCTTTATTTTTTTTTTGCGATTTTATAAAATAATTTTTTTTTTTTTTATCTAACATAAGTAAAGTGTGCAAATTAAGAGTTTAAATAACACTATCGACCTTTAATAGAGAACCAATTTTTTAATAAAGTTAATAAAAAAAAAAAAAAATTAGAATATAAAAAAAAAGAATTAAGAAAATGGAAGAGAACAATATTTACGGCATCACTTCATTTTTAGTTATTAATTTAAACTGTCAAAATATTGGGCCAATGTATTAGATAAATTTAAAGATCAGTATAATGTAACAAAAATAAAATCTAAATATTTTTCTTTATAAAAAAAATATGAGCTCACGAATAAATAATGAGAATTCAGCTCTTTGAGTTATCCTCATTCGAAAAGGTAGAGTTAAGTAAAAAAGTATCAATTAAGTAAGAATGTGTTGAACAATTAGCATGGTTAAAGAAACAACATATTGTTTATGTCATTATAATATACTAGAGGAACATTTATATGGTATTCGTTATTTTTATTTTAAAAATAAAAGTTTTTATTTTTTTATATAAATATTTGTTTAGTTAATATCAAAAGGTAACTTTCGAATTTATAAGTTTTTAAATTATAACTTTAGGTTTTTTTTTTTTAATAGTTTATGACAGTCAAGTCTTAATAGTCAGACGGTGATTGAAATTAGTGGCTTAACCTGTCACAGATTACGGACGTGCCAAGTCTTAATAGTAGGGATGGGCAAAATTTTTACATATTCTTAACATATTCTTATATATTGTTGCATTTTTATTGCAATATAGTAATCCAATTTAAACGTTATAACAAAATTGTTATTTA